CCCCCAACTCTCTCTGGCCTTCCCACTGCAGTTTGGCAATCAGTTTGAGGCAGCTCTGCTCTGTATCTATTATTGTTCAAAAGTTTGTAATGGTCTTTATTATCCATGAATGAGTGAGATCATGTGGTATTTTTCCTTCATTGACTGGCTTGTTTCACTTAGCATAATGCTCTCCAGTTCCATCCATGATGTTGCAAATGGTAGGAGTTCCTTCTTTTTAACAGCAGCATAGTATTCCATCGTGTAGATGTACCACAGTTTTCTAATCCATTCATCTACTGATGGGCACTTAGGCTGTTTCCAGATCTTAGCTATGGTGAATTGTGCTGCTACGAACATCTGGTTACATATATCCTTTCTGATAGGTGTTTCTGGTTTCTTGGGATATATTCCTAGTAGTGGGATCACAGGGTCAAATGGGAGTTCCATTTCCAATTTTTTGAGGAACCTCCATACTGCCTTCCATAGTGGCTGCACCAGTCTGCATTCCCACCAGCAGTGCACAAGTGTTCCTTTTTCTCCACATCCTCTCCAGCACTTGTCGTTTGTTGATTTGTTGATGATGGCCATTCTGACAGGTGTGAGATGGTACCTCATTGTTGTTTTGATTTGCATCTCTCGGATGATTAGTGACTTTGAGCATGTTTTCATATGTCTCTTGGCTTTCTGAATGTCCTCTTTTGAAAGGTGTCTATTTAGATCCTTTGCCCATTTTTTGATTGGATTGTTTATCTTCTTTTTGTTAAGTTGTATGAGTTCCCTATAAATTTTGGAGATTAAGCCCTTATCAGATATGACGTTGGCAAATATGTTTTCCCAAGAGGTGGGTTTTCTTGTTGTTTTGTTGATGGTTTCTTTTGCTGTGCAGAAGCTTTTTATTTTGATGTAGTCCCATTTGTTCAGTTTCTCTTTAGTTTCAATTGCCCTAGGAGCTGTATCAGTGAAGAAATTGTTTTGGCATAAGTCTGAGATTTTGTTGCCTTTGTATTCTTCTAGAATTTTTATGGTTTCCTGTCGTACATTTAAGTCCTTTATCCATTTTGAATTTATTCTTGTGTATGGTGTAAGTTGGTGGTCTAGTTTCATTTTCTTGCATATATCTGTCCAATTTTCCCAACACCATTTATTGAAGAGACTATCTTGGCTCCATTGTATGTTCATGCCTCCTTTGTCAAAAATTAATTGAGCATATTGGTTCGGCTAATTTCTGGACTCTCTATTCTATTCCACTGGTCTATATGTCTGTTCTTGTGCCAGTACCAGGCAGTTTTGAGAACAGTGGCTTTGTAATACAGTTTGATATCTGGCATTGAGATCCCACCTACTTTGTTCTTTCTCAGGATCGCTGCAGCTATTCGGGGTCTTTTTTTATTCCAGATGAATTTTTGGAGAGTTCGTTCTAGATCTTTGAAGAAGGCCATTGGTATTTTAATGGGAAGTGCGTTGAATTTATAGATTGCTTTGGGTAGTATGGACATTTTAATGATGTTGATTCTACCAATCCAAGAACATGGTATGTTCTTCCATCTGTTTATGTCTTCCTCTATCTCTTTTTTCAACGTCCTGTAGTTTTCTGAGTAGAGGTCTTTAACCTCTTTAGTTAAGTTTATTCCTAGGTATCTTAATTTTTTTGGTGCGATGGTAAATGGGATTGTTTTTCTAATCTCTCTTTCTGAAAGTTCACTATTGGTGTATAGAAATGCCTCAGATTTCTTGGGGTTAATTTTGTATCCTGCTACATTGCCAAATTCATGTATTAAGTCTAGTAGCTTTTTGATGGAGTCTCTAGGGTTTTGTATGTATAATATCATGTCATCTGCAAATAAGGACAGTTTTACTTCCTCTTTTCCAATTTGGATGCCTTTTATTTCTTCTTCTTGCCTAATTGCAATGGCTAATACTTCCAGTACTATGTTGAACAGGAGTGGTGAGAGTGGGCATCCCTGTCTTGTTCCTGTTCTTAGGGGAAATGGTGTTAGTTTTTGACCATTGAGTATGATGTTGGCTGTGGGCTTGTCATATATGGCTTTTATTATGTTGAGGTATGATCCTTCTATTCCCACCTTTCTGAGAGTTTTTATCAAAAATGGGTGTTGGATTTTGTCGAATGCTTTTTCTGCATCAATTGATATGACCATGTGGTTTTTTTCTTTCAATTTGTTTATGTGATGTATCACATTTATTGATTTACGGATGTTGTACCATCCTTGCATCTCTGGGATAAATCCTACTTGGTCATGGTGTATGATCCTTCTGATGTACTGCTGGATCCGATTTGCTAAGATTTTGTTGAGGATTTTGGCATCTATGTTCATGAGGGATATTGGCCTGTAATTCTCTTTCATTGTGATGTCTTTACCTGGTTTTGGTATTAGGGTGATGCTGGCTTCATAGAATGAGCTTGGAAGTGTTCCTTCCTCTTGAATTTTTTGTAGTAGTCTGAGGAGGGTAGGTTTTAGTTCTTCCTTGAATGTTTGGTAGAACTCCCCTGTGAAGCCGTCTGGCCCTGGACTTTTGTTTGCTGGAAGCTTTCTGATGACTGCTTCAATTTCTTCCATAGTTATTGGCCTATTGAGGTTTTTAGATTCTTCCTGATTGAGTTTTGGAATGTTGTATTTTTCTAGGAATTTGTCCATTTCCTCCAGGTTGTCTAGTTTGTTGGAGTAGAGTTGCCCGTAGTATTGTTTAACAATCATTTGTATTTCTGTGGGGTCTGTTGTTATTTCGCCTCTATCATTTCTGATTTGGTTTATTTGGGACCTTTCTCTTTGCTTCTTGGTGAGCCTGGCGAGTGGTTTGTCAATCTTGTTTATCCTTTCAAAGAACCAGCTCTTGGTTTCATTGATTTTCTGTATTGTTTTTTTGGTCTCTATGTCATTGATTTCTGCTCTAATCTTTATTATCTCCTTCCTTCTGCTCACTCTGGGGTTTTCTTGTTGCTCTCTTTCTAATTCTTTGAGTTGTAGAGTTAGATGATTAACTACCATTTTTTCTTGTTTTTTGAGATAGGCCTGTAGAGCTATAAACTTCCCTCTCAGGACTGCTTTCATTGTGTCCCAGAGGTTTTGGATTGTTGTGTTTTCATTGTCATTAGTGTCCAGGATGTTTTTAATTTCTTCTTTGATGTCATCGGTAACCCAATCAATATTTAATAACATGCTATTCAGCTTCCAAGTGTTTGAGTATTTTGGGTTGTTTTTATTGTAGTTTATTTCTAACATTATGCCATCATGGTCTGAGAAGATGCTTTTTATGATCTCAATCTTCTTGAATTTGTGGAGACTTTGCTTGTGACCCAATATGTGGTCTATTTTTGAATATGTCCCATGAGCACCTGAGAGGAATGTATATTCCGCAGCTGTGGGGTGTAGTGTTCTGAAGATGTCAATTAAGTCCATCTGATCTAGTGAGTCATTTAGGATTGCTGTTTCTTTGCTGATTGTTTGTCTAACGGATTTATCCAGTGATGTCAGTGGTGTATTAAAGTCCCCTACTATGATTGTGTTATTGTCGATATCTCCCCTGATATCTTCCAGAAGTTTTCTTATGTATGTGGGTGCTCCTGCATTGGGTGCATATATGTTTACCAGGGTTATATCTTCTTGTTGTATTGATCCCTTTAGTATTATGAAGTGGCCTTCTTTATCTCTGGTTATGGCCTTCACTTTGAGATGTATTTTGTCAGATATAAGTATTGCTACCCCAGCTTTCTTTTCCTTTCCATTTGCGTGAAAGATATTTTTCCATCCCTTCACTTTCAGTCTGTGTGAGTCCTTTCCAATGAGGTGGGTCTCTTGTAGACAGCAGATGTATGGGTCATGTTTTTTTATCCATTCAGCCACTCGGTGTCTTTTATTTGGAGCATTTAGTCCATTTACATTTAAAGTTATTATTGAAAGGTACTTGTTTGTAGCCATTTCTTTTTTGTGTGTGTGTGTGGCTGTTTTCTTTCTGATCTTGATATTTCTTCTTTTACAACAGTCCCTTTAGCATTTCTTGCATGGCTGGCTTGGTGGTGATAAACTCCCTTAGCCCTTTTTTGTCTGTGAAGCTTCTTATTTCCCCTTCAATTTTGAATGATAGCCTTGCTGGATAGAGTATTCTTGGATTCAGTCCTTTGCTTTGCATCACTTTGTAGATTTCCGTCCATTCTTTTCTGGCCTGATGTGTTTCTGTGAGAAATCATTTGATAATCTAATGGGAGATCCCTTGTATGTTACTTTCCGCCTCTCTCTTGCAGCCTGTAAGATTCTCTCTTTATCCTGAACATTTGCCATGGTAATTATGATATGTCTTGGTGTGGGTCTTTTCGGGTTCACCTTGTTTGGGACTCTCTGGGCTTGTGTGACTTTTTTCTTCCCCACCTCAGGGAAGTTTTCTGATATTATTTCTTCGAATAGGTTTTCTAATCCATGTTCATCTTTCTGTTGTTCTGGCACCCCTATTATTCGTATGTTGCTTCGTTTCATGTTGTCCCAAAGTTCCCTTAGGCTCTCCTCCTGTCTTTTAATTTTTTTCTCCATTTGCAGTACAGTTTGAGTGTGTTTTGCTTCCTTGTCTTCTAATTCACTGATTCGGTCCTCTGCTTCTCCCAGTCTACTGTTGATACTTTCAATGGTGTTTTTTATTGCAGCTATGTCGCTCTTCATTTCTTCTTGGGACTTACTTAAGTTGTTGATTTTTTCACCTGTTTCTTCTAGCTTCTTGCATACGTAGTTGAGTTTTTCATCTGTTTCTTCTTGCTTCTTGAACATCCGGTGCATGTACTCTAGGAACCTTATTCTGAATTCTTTTTCTGTCATGTTGCATATCTCTGTCTCACTTAGCTGCTTTTCTGGCGAGTCCTCCTTTTCTTTCCTTTGGGGGTTTCTTTGTCTACCCATGTTTGATCTCACTGACATTACTAGTTGTTGAATCGTTCAGTGGCTGGACCCTGGGTGGCAGTGGCTGCTCCCTGGGTGGCAGTGGCTCCTCGGTCTGTGGTTGCTCCTTGGGCGGTTGTGGTAGCAGCGGCTCCTCTGTTGATAGCAGGGCCTCTGATGGGTGCTGTTCACAGTTGTGGTGGCTCTTCTGGCTGGTGGAGGGAGGCTTCAGACGCAGCAACTGTTCCCCAGGCAGAGCGTGTGGTGATCAGGAGGCCGCTGTTGCTTGAATCTTCGAGGCAAGTCCAACCTTTCCGTGGAGGGGTGCAGGTCTCCCCTTGGCTCTTGCAGTCGCGCTGTTTGCGAATCGCTGGCTCCGGGTCAGTAGCGCCGGGCTAGTAGCCGATCTCTGGATGCCGGTGAACGCTGCCTGAGATGGCGCGGTCCCGCCGCTGCGCTGGCGCCCAGAGGGAGGTTTCAGCCTCAATCTCCAACCATCCGCATTTTTTAGGAGTTTTCTGTCTTTCCTGGCTGCAGACTGTCTCTCAGCTGAACCTCCCCAGCTTGATCGGGCTGATTGTTACCCGTTTCAGCTGCTCGCCCCCATCTGGTCCGGGACAAAGCACCAACACGTCCGTCTAAGCCTCCGCCATTTTCTCCCACAATACTGTTTTTTTCTACTAATAATTTTTTAAGAATTCTATTTTTTAGTTATATTTTCTTAAGGGAAGCTGTAAAAGACACACACGAGATGTTCTGTCATTTACACTAAGCCTTTGCTATCCTTCTAAAAATAGAGTAATAGAAAAATGTATTGGACTACAAGAAAATGAGAACAGGCCTGTGTGCCTTAAGTAATATACTTGTATATAAGGGAACCAAGAAGCCATTTTCTATAATTTGCCCTTGAACTATTCCATGTAGATACCGATTATTTTCCTCTCCATTAATTAATGTAATGTGAATCTTAGCACTAGAGAGAACAGGCAGAGCAAGGGGAGGGAGGCAGTGTGGGCTGCTTCCTCTGGCTTTTTCCGTGGCCTCCTTGCCTGCTTTGCTGCTCACTAACCCAGAGGTTATGTCCGTCTTCTGGTCCTTGGTCCGATCCCTTCGTCCCTACCTCACTTTATTAGATATCTGGGTGGAAGTTAACTAACTTTGTGGGATCATGGTTCTTTTTTCCTTTCTCCTTATTTAACTTGTTATGTATTTGCCAGTCTGGATTATCTGACTTAAAATAAAGAACTTAAGGTACAGCTATCTGCAAGATACTTTGAGCTTCAGATATTTACTAAATATTTAGCCCTTTGCCAGTTTCTAATCTAAAACCTCGTGCTGCCTCAGTTCTAGAATCAGAAGGACTTCTCTTTTGACTGCCTTTAATCATGTTACAGAAGCTTAACTTAGTACCTTGCAAAATGAGGCAAGTAGTGAAATTCTTAAGTTGTTTAGAAAGAGAGAAAGGCATCATACCTCTCCTATTTTTCTTTTGATAAGCACATTTGGTAGATTTTGTTTCTAATGATTTCCTTATTTTTGAATATTAAGGATGAACCATTTGAAAACCGTGGTAATTGAAAATCTGGAGGGAAATAAATACATCACCCACATGGACTTGCGGGACAACCAACTGACTGACTTAGATCTTAGCTCCTTCTGTAGCTTGGAGCAGCTGCATTGTGAGCGGAACCAGCTGAGGGAGCTGACACTCAGTGGCTTCTCCCTGCGGACTCTCTACGCCAATTCCAACAGTGAGTTCTCTGCCCGGCTTCCTTTTTCTTCTCTTACATTTCTCATCAGAGCTTTCCAAGAACAATGGCATCTGTGGTGGTCCTCACCTCTCTGTAAAATAGAATTTGAGGGTTATTGAGACCTCGCCTTGTCTTTTCAGTTTGCTTTCAAAACTGAAGTGGTTGAAATATGCATACAAAAGACATTACAAGATGCTTTGAGCTTCACTAAGTGCCAAATATTTACTAAATATTTAACTCTTTGCCAACTTCTAATCTAAAACCTTGTGCTGCCTCAGTTCTAGAAAGAGAAACCCCTCGTTTTGATAGTCATTTGCTCCAGGAATATTTTCCAATGTAAAAGGCCTGTTATTTGTTGAAGTCATTTTTTTAAAAATATATTTTATTGATTTTTTACAGACAGGAAGGGAGAGGAATAGAGAGGTAGAAACATTGATGAAAGAGAAACATCAATCAGCTGCCTCCTGCACACCCCCCACTGGGGATGTGCCTGCAACCAAGGTACATGCCCTTGACTGGAATCGAACCCGGGACCCTTGAGTCCGCAGGCCGACGCTCTATCCACTGAGCCAAACTGGTCAGGGCGAAGTCATTTTTTAATGGAGAGTTCATCTTTACCAAAGAGGTTATAATTACTTTTTCTGTGTTTCAAGAAGGAAAGGAAAAAATGTTCAGTTTCACTAAGTGTCAGAGGGATTAAAATTTAAATAATACCATTTTATACTCATCAAATAAAAAAAAATAATGCTAAGTGCTATTGAAGATAGGGAGAGGCAGCTCTTTATACACTGCTAGTTTGAGTGTGGTTGATAAAACCCCCTTGGAGAGCAGTGTGAGGTGTTGGAGAAGGTAAAGACACACAGGGCCCTGCTTGGAATATCTCCCAGAGACACTCATGTGTAGAAGGAGATGTGTACAAGAATGCTTAGCATAGCATTGTGTTTGTTATAGTGAAAAAAATTAAAAATATGACTATTAATAGGGAAACTAAGCCATGACATATTTGTATGATAGAATATTGCACAGCAATGGAAATCAAGGTACTAAAGCTTTGTGTGTCAATATGGATAAATCTCAGAAGCACTTTTGAGTAAAAAAAGGAAGTGCATAATTATATGTACTAGGATAGTTATCAAATTTTAAAACATACAAAATGTTGTTTTCTTAGCTATAAGTATGCCATAACACTATGAAAGAATCCACGGGAATGATAAAAATCATATTCAGGATGATGTTTACCTGGTATGTGCAGTGTTTCAATTCTTAATTTAAAAAGTGGAGCATATTAGGCAGAATGTCAAAATTTGTTAAAAGCTACATGATAGGTGGAAGAGAGTGTTCATTATTTTGTTGTCTTTTCTGTATCTCTAAAATGCGTTATTAGGATAGAAGATTGTTAAGGAATTCTTTTGATGCCTTTAACCATGTTACAGAAGCTTCAAATTATAGCTGCGATTAGGTCAGAATAGTGTCACTGCTGATGAGTGTTGTGCTGTTTATAGATATCGTGAGAAGGTAGTAGGTCTTTTGCCATGGAAATATTATCAGGACCATTTTCTATTCTTAATGTATCTAAAGATCTGAATAACTGGCTCCTTTGGAAAAGACCTTATTGACATAGATGCAGTCCTTCTTAGTAACCAAGGTTCTGTCACAGTACTGTAGAAAATGGGGCTTTATCGAACTTAGCTGTTCTGTTTACAGAATCCTTAAATTCAGCAAGCTGGAAGAATTCACATCAACACTTGCAGTTTTGACGACTCAAGAGTAAAGGAGTCAGCTTCGCAAAAGAAGTTATCCAATGATCAGCTACTATAGGAAAAGGCAGTCAACTTCACAGGTCATTGGGGATATGCAAACTGACCCCTGCACACATACCAGAGGGACACCACTGCACACATACCAGAGGGACTAGAATGAGAGACTGAAAATACCAGTGTCAGTTGTTGGGAGTGTAAACTGGTACAACCACCCCGGAAAACTGTTCAGTATATGCACCCCCTGTAGTCAACAGTTCTCTCCTAAGCTTATCTACACTAATAAAAGACAAACATGCAAATTGACCGTACCTTCGCTATGCCTTAAGCCACGCCCACCAGCCAATCAGAGCGACTATATGCAAATTAACCCAACCAAGATGGCGGCCGGCAGCCACGGAGCTGGAGCAAGCAGGAGGCTTGGTTGCCCCAGTGATGGAGGAAGCCAAGCTTCCTGCCTGCTGTGGCTGGCTCTGATCTCCACTCAAGCCAACAAAGTTTCAATTGTTGAAGATAAATAAATCCCAGAATAAAAGAAAAAAAGGAGAGGCTGGGAGCTTCTGTCGCTGGGGGGCTTGGCCAGCCTGAAAACAGCCCTCAGCCCCTCACCCAGACTGGCCAGGCACCCCAGTGGGGACCCCCACCCTGAAGGGGGTGTGACCAGCTGCAAACAGCCATCAGCCCCTCACCCAGCCTGGCCAGTCACCCCAGTGGGGACCCCCACCCTAAAGGGGGTGTGACCAGCCTGCAAACACCCATCAGCCCCTCACCCAGGCTGGCCAGGCACTCCAGCGGGGACCCCCACCCTGATCCGGGACACCCTTCAGGGCAAACCAGCCAGCCCCCACCCGTGCACCAGGCCTCTATCCTATATAATAAAAGGGTAATATGCAAATTGACCCTAACAGCAGAACGACTGGGAATGACTGGTCACTATGACACACACTGACCACCAGGGGGCAGATGCTCAATGCAGGAGCTGTCCCCTGGTGGTCAGTGCGCTCCCACAGGGGGAGCTCTGCTCAGCCACAAGCCAGGCTGACGGCTGCCAATACAGTGGTGGTGGCGGGAGCCTCTCCCGCCACCTCAGCAGCACTAAGGATGTCCGACTGCAGCTTAGGTCTGCTCCCTGCTGATAAGTGGACATCCCCCTAGGGCTGCCGGGCTGCCAGAGGGATGTCTGACTGCTAGCTTGGGCCTGATCCCCCAGGAAGCGGGCCTAAGCCAGCAGGTGGTCATCCCCTGAGGGGTCCCAGACTGCGAGGGCACAGGCCGGGCTGAGGGACCCCCCCCCCCGCCTCCAAGTGCACAAATTTTTGTGCACTGGGCCTCTAGTACTCAACATAAATGCTTATATTAGTCCACAAAAGACATGGAAAAAATATTCATAGAAGCACTATTCGTAGTCACCCCAACTCGAAAAGACTTCAGTGCCGTACCTCTAAAATGAATAAACAAATTGTGGTATAGTCATATAAACAGTTTCATACTGCCAGGAGAATGAATGAACTACACGTACATGCAGTAATGTGAATAGATCCCACAAGTGCAATAAGGAGTGAATGAAGCCAGATCAGAAACTTTACAGACTGTATGTGTAATTTATGTAAATAAGCAAAAGTAGCCTGTGGTATAGGGAGTGAGGGCGACGAGGGGCGGAGACTGGAAGGCGGATGAGAGGAGGCTCCTGGGAGCTGGTAATGGGCCGCTTCCTAAGTGGGCACTGGCTACACTGGTGTGTTCTGTGTGTAAAAATGTAGCGATCTGTGCACGTAAGATTGTTGCCCTTTTCTGTATCTATGTTGTACTGTAGTTAAAAGTTAAAATATTGCCAGTGAAAATCCAATTATCAATTTTTAAAAAAATTAAGTAGTTACTGTTAACAACTGCCTGGTCTGGCGTGAGTCCAGTGCAGTACACACAATCCTTCATTAGTTGTATTTGGTCTTCAAATTGGGACCACACTATTCATGTGCGTTACCCAATGGCTTTTGTCTTTAGTTCATGTCAGTAGGTGGCCTGTTTTCTTTCTGACGCTGTCACTTTTTCCTTATTTACTCTCAGTTACTTTCTTCTTTAGACAATGTTACTGACACCCTTTTGTTTTTCAATTAGGGCTGACAGCAGTGAATGTCTATCCAGTACCCAGTCTTCTCACATCTCTAGAACTTTCCAGGTGAGTGTGCTTCATAAAGGTGGTGCTTGTTTGATTCCTAATATTTAAAAGACATATGTGGATAATTTGGTAGTTTTGAGGCACAAGAAATCTAAATACTTCTGAAGTCCCTCCCTCCCTTCCACATGGATCAGCACTCACTTAGGCCTATATCATCTCTTGTCTGGAATTCTGTAACAGCTTCCTGATTAGTCTTCCTTTTACTAATATAATCATCTCAACCAGACCTCAAGGTAGCCACAGAGTGAACTTTTTAAATTACAAAACTGACATTGTACTTACTTCCTAATTCTTCAGCGATCCCCCTATACCTGCAGGGTAAAGTCACAGTCTTCTGGACATGATTTCGTTTTCTCCAGCCTGTTTCTTACCACTCTCTGCTCCGTTTCCCCAAACTGCTTGTTATAATTCCCACATATGCCATGCCATTTCTTTCCTTGCCTTTGTGTTCTCACTCATGTTGTCCCCTCTTTCTTAGAATGTCCTCCTCTCTTCAGGTCATTGTCCCACATTCTTCAAATTCTAACCCAGATGTCCTATATCTTAGGGAGCTTGCCTTGATCCATTCCTGACAAAGTGCTTCTTTCATTCAGCCATCGTAGCCGTATCTGCATTTCTCTTACAGCCCTCACTTCATTCTGCCTCGTCGTCTCAATCGACTGATCAGTAGGTACATTGAGGCCAAGAGAGACTAAATAATATCTGAAAATAAAAAATATTTTTACTAGGTGTCTGCTCAGTGCTCTACTAAATATTTGCATTCACATTTTAAATGTTTTGAAGCCCCCCACTAGTTATCTTGTGCCCCTACTTCCACACTTTTATTCATTTTGTTCATTTTCCCCAGAATTTGCTATTCTTCTTCCCCAGTTATTACCTGTAGTCATCTTCAAAGGTTTGTTTAAAATGCCACTTCTTCCATTAAGTCTCTCCACATCTCTCCTTCAGTCATCCCATCATATATATGCTTTCCTGCTGTTGAGAGCCTTTGTATCTTCTTTGAGCATGCAGTATAATTGATCCAGGAGTATACATGTTTGGGTGCTTATCTCTGTCCACCTCTCTATCAGCGACATTCATTGAGCACCTAGTGCATTCCGGTAGTGGACCAAGAACGCTTAGGTATAGTGCTCCTGCCCTCAAGGGGCTCATGGGCCAGTTAACAGGTATATTACAGACTAATGAAATGAGTTCCACTCATCATCGTAAATGATGGCTTGTGTTGATTTATTTTTGATAGAAACCAGCTGGAATGTGTCCCTGACTGGGCCTGTGAAGCAAAGAAGATAGAAGTATTAGATGTGAGCTATAATCTTCTGACAGAGGGTCCTATGAGGTATGTGTGTGTTAATATATATATGTATGTATATATGATATCTGTGTGTGTATGCATGTATTCATTATTCTCCTAGATTGGGTACTTTGTATAGGTACTTTCATTTAGTGTCATAAATATCAGTACTGCTGAGTGCAGG